TTGATCTGGGTATTATTTCATTACTGTGTATGTTTGTGTGTGTGTGTGTGTGTGTGTGTGTGTGTGTGTGTGTGTTGTTTGACACAGGGTCTCATTGTGTAGTCCAGGTTGGTCTTGAGCTATGTAGCCAAGGCTGGCTTCAAATTCATGGCTATCCTCCTGCCTCAGCCTCCTGACTGTCAGGATTACCAGGGAACCTGCATTTTGGCTACCCATTACATGAGGTCACATGAATTTTCCATGTTGGCTTTACACAACAACTCAGAAAGCTTTGGATCTTGAAACATTTTAGTTTTGGATTTTCATATTAGGGATATTTCCTATATTGAAGGATTTTTATTAGTACATATTTGTTGTACACAATATTTACATTCCATGTAGGGAATTGGTACGTATACATAAAACAGTGGAGTAGTACATAAAACATCTTGTGTGAGTTTGCCAGATCTGAGAGCACAGCTGACTTCTGACTTGCTCGACAGGAATGTTACTGTGGTCCCCGTGGTCATCAGAGAAAGAGACAGCTTGCTGTTGTTCAGACGAGCGACGGCAGTGTGTTCTGAAATTTAAACAAATTTTACTTTTGCTTCTTAACTTTACAAATTTTATAAATTAAAAAAGGAACTAAGGAATGTAAGTTTGTTTTTGTCTTTTTCAAGCAGCGTATTTGAGACCCTGGGTGAGGCTGAGGAGATGCAAGCCCAGCAAATGCGGTGTGCTACCCTTTCTATCTAAAATGCTGATACTTTCTTCATCATAGAGTTTTAAAAAACTAATTTTGATTTTACATGTTTCAGATTATGACACTTCAATTATGACCCTATAAATACCCATAATGTAAAAATAAGTGAAATAATTTTGAAGGAAAAAATGCTGCATTAAATATCATTTGATTCCTGAAATTTCTGGTGACCCCTTAAATTGAGCGCTTAAGGTGACTATTTCACCTTGATTAATGCCCCCAATAGGGACCAAAAATCCCACTTGTATTTCTTTTCCCTCCAAAGACCAAAAAATAGAGCTCATCATTAATTTATCCAGTGACCGAAAGATGGATAAATGCAAAAACCAGAGGAAGCACGGCCAGTCTTCTGCACACGCTGCGGGCGTGGAGGTGGCCCCACTCTGATCCCAGGTCCGGCCAGCATCCCTTACCCTGGGGTCCTGCTCACTGATCAGCTTTCACTTTCTGAAGTCCCCACACCCTGCTTCCAAGTCCTCCTTAATGATCCCTCTGGACCATGTGCTGTGATGTCTCCAAGACGGAGCCTGGAGAGGTGATTAAGGGCATGTGCCTGGAGACAGAGACGCCTAGACTTTCCAGCACCCTGCCCCTGAGCTAATTAGTGCTCAGCGTGGTGGTGCTAACTGCTAGAGGCCACGGCCAGCTCCAGAGCAGCAATGGATGGTCTTCACAGCTCTGGTTCCACTCGCCCGCCACATCCACCCAATGCCTTTGTTCATGGATCAAATTCCAGTCCCCTCCGCATGGATGTTTTCTCTCTCACCCCATCCCACCCTCTCAGGCTGTCTCTGTCCAGCAACAAGAGGGAGCTCCCTGGAGGGAGCTCCTGAAAGGCCCCTCTACTGAATCCTCTTCTTCCTCAGGTACAGAGCACACTGCTGTGGCCGTGGAGGCCACATCCGCTCCGGAGCCCACACCAGCTCTCCAGCCTCACGGCCTCCTGTGGGAAACCAAGTACCTTCGTGTCAGGACCTTTGTGCCTGCTCCGGCCTCTACTTGGGATGGCCGTTCCTCTTCTATACATCTTTAGGTCTGACATAACTGTCATCACCTTGGGAAGCCTTCCCCTGACTCTCTCCCCAAGACACCACCACCTTTACCAGCCCTCACTGCTACTGATTTATTTCCCTCAACACTGTTGTCACACTCATATATATATATATAATATGTATGTACATAATATATAATATATATATATAATATATATATACATACAGTCAAATCTATGTATCCATGAGGACTGACCCCAGGACACACCACAGATTCCAAAATAAGAGGATGCCCAAATCCCTTGTGTAAAATGGTAGTGTTTGCCGAGAATCCACACAACCCTCTCACATACTTTAAGTCATTTCCGGATGGCCAGAATACCTAACACAATATAAATGCTGTATAAATAGTTATTATGCTGTATTTTCAGGAAATTATGACAAGAAAAATCTATATACATTCAGTACGGATGCCATTTAAAAAAAACTTCAATCTGCAGTTGGTTGGATCCGAGGGTGCTGCATGTGAGGGTGTACGTGGGGGTGTCAACTGTTTGATGTCACTTAATATCTGCGTTCCCTTCTTGCATACAGATGCTGCGATTGGGGATTCTGTCTCATTTGTTCAGGGTTTTATCCCCAGTGGTATCTAGAAAGGGTCTGGCACAAATAGGTTCCTTTTTTTTCTTTTCTCATTCATTTATTCATTTATTTACTTATTTGCAGTACTGGGGACTGAACACAGGGTCTCACACAGAACTATATCGCCCCTCCTTTGTATTTTTTATTTTGAGATGAGGTCTTTTTCTGTTACCCAGACTGGCCTCGAGTTGTGATTATCAAAAGCAAAAAATTGTGATCATCTTGCCTCAACTTCCAAAGTAGCTGAGATTATAGTCATATGCCACTGTGCTGAGCATCTGCTCCATTTTAAATATAGGTTCAGTAGTTTTTCTACTTCAGAGAGGAATCACTGGTAAACTAAATTCATGTATGTATATTTGTTGACAGTGAGACTACTAATACCACTTGCTTATGAAGTAAAAGAGCTCAGGTATGTGAAGCTCTAAGAACCAGACTTACTGCCAGTCGTCAGACAAATGCAATCTCATACTGAGACTTTTCCGGAGCGTGCTCTAATTCCTACCCTGCTACATTTTGCTGATGGAAAACAGCATCATAGGCTCTGTACTGGGTATCCCAACATTACCTGATAATACCTATCCTCAGAACAAGCCCAGAAGGAATTGCCTCAGAAGAGCAGCCCTTGCAGCCAAGTGAGTGGTGCTTCTCTCATGGACTCCAAAGGTGTTCCATGTCTCTCGTGAGCCACACAAACTTGTCCTTTGCTCAGAACAGCCTGAGACTCTAGCCTGAAACTAATTTTGATACCAAAGCCAGTGCACTACTTAACAGTAGAGTTCCATTTTGAATGCTAATTAATGCATTCGTTTCCTAAGTCTGCTATATTAAAGTGCTGCAAATCCGCCAGCTTAAAAGAATACAGATTTATTCTCTCGCATTTCTGGAGACCAGAACTCTGAAATAAGTTTCACTAGGTTTGAGCAGAGGTATTAGAAAAGCTGGTTTCTTGTTGAGGATCCACAGGAGAATCTCACATCTTGCTTGATCCAGCTCCTAATGGCTGCTTCAATCCCTGATTCATGGTCTTTTTCTAATATAATTCCAATCTCTTCCTGTTGTTGCTACCTTTCTTTTTATCTACCTCTGGTTACAAGGACCCTTAAGATTCCATAGGGCAAACCCATAAAATCAGGAACCCCCCCCCCTTTAAACCTTTTAGCTGAATCACAGGGCAAAATCATGTTTGGTGAAGAAGAGAATATATTCACAAGTTCCAAATATGGTAATCATTCTGGATGGGGCAATACTCAACCTGCATTAACGAATGAGTGCATTAATAAAATTCAACCTTAAAAGCGGCCATAGCCAGTTCTGTCAGAAGTAGAAAGTGTCTATTCACTTGGTTGGAGCTAGTGATTCTTCCTTGCTTGGAGACATTAGTATTGACCTAAGACTGTGCTCTTCACCAAATATAAGCCTCTGCCTTCTGAGTCCTCCTTCTAACTAGAGCCCCTTTTCTGTGTTCAAATCCAAACTTCCTTTGCAGGCACTTGCAAAATGTGTGTCCTGATAACCAGTTCCGGATCAGTCCTGAATGTTTTTCATTCCTCCTTCACCACTGCATGGGTGTGTGGTCTTAGATAACTAGTTTAACCTCTCAGATTCATGTTTTATTCACCCCAAAATATGAATAATACAGATGTGGCTATTATATAAGTGTGGATATGTGGTAATGTAATGTCACATAGAGACGCTGCTGCGTAGGAAATGCGTAGCCCAGTATTTGGTGAATATGTGACATTCATGTACGTTTCCTCCCTCTGGATGCCCTTTCCAGAAAAGTCCACATCACACAGGGGCCTCCGCTCCCTTTCTGTGTTCTCAGCTGTATAGAATTTGCACAGAAGTTAGAGCTGCCAAGGTCCCGTGGATGTTTCCCCTCACAATGTGTGTCATAGCATCTCAACCAAAATTCTCCAGCTGTGGAAGAATGGGACCAGTTGCACGCAACCTGTATCTCCTCTGGTGTCACCTCGAGATAGCTCTGCTCTTGGACACATCCCCCAGTGGAGCCCTTCTCCTGTTTGACTCTCTTTCTTCAGCACCACCCCTCTTTGTTGTTATGACATCTGTCACCAAACTTGCACCAATGCATAATCCCCCCTTACAGCACAGTCCTGCCAAAGACATGAGGAATTGCTAACAGTGGATGGTTCTCTTTGAGATGAACAGCTTAATGTTTCTTGTGTAATTCTCCTTATTAAAATTATTATTTTCGTGTAACACCGCACATATTGCTTGATACATAGGAAGAGTTTGATGCATCATGATGCTTATGACTATTATTAATTTATTTCTTTGTTATATTGGGAAAAACTAAGTTTTTCTTCATTGCTTATTCAAGAACCATGTACATAGCATTCACGCGTCCATAGGGTAATTCTCACATGCCTGTAGACACGTGGCACCATGCTAGGCACAGATGATGGGAGGGATTCCATCAGACCTGGTCACAAATAGAAGATCATGATTGCTTGAGCCTAAGAACGGAGCTGAGAGGAACAGCAGCTGGTATGTGCAAACACCAGCTGACATGGGTCTTTCTACAAACACATGCTTTCAACAGTCCTATGAAGATGATCTGCTTTCCTCTACCCTACTTCACCCCCAAAGATTGACCGTTAGGAATTTTGCAGACAGAATTTTCTGTAGAAGCTCTTATTTATGGCGTTTTTCAGCTCCTTATTCCTGAGGCTGAAAATGATTGGGCTGAGGAAGGGGGTGAAAACCGTATAGGTGGTGGACATCAGAGCGTCAGTGTACAGAGAATGGGGACCCTTTGGCTTGAGGTAGATCATGGAGGCAAAGCCATAGTGCACAACCACCACAGTGAGGTGGGATACACACGTGGAGAAGGTCTTGTTCCGGCCCTCAGGAGAGGGGATCTTCAAGATGATGGCCACAATGAAGACATAGGAGAGGATAATGAGGGATAAGCAGCCTATCAGGGGTATGACACACACCAGGATGACACCCAGGGTGACAGAGCCTGTCTCCTCCCCGCAGGCCAACTTCAAGAGGGAAAACACATGACAGAGAATATGGCGGACCACATTAGACTCACAGAAGGTAAGGTGGAAAACTATCAGTGTCACCGTCATCCCCATGACTGAGCCACCAGCCCAGGACCAGGCCACAAGGTGGACACAACCCGTGGGGCTCATGAGCACGTTGTAACGCAGTGGGTGGCAAATGGCCACATAGCGGTCATAACCCATGACCATGAGCAAGAAGGAGTGGGCATAGCCGAACGTGAAGGAGAAGAACATCTGGGCAGCACAGGCCACAAAGGTGATGGCGTGGTGGGCGGAGAGCAGGTCGCCCAGCATGCGAGGCGTGATGACAATGGTGAACAGGATCTCAGAGGTGGAGAGGGCACACAGGAAGAGGTACATGGGCGTGTGGAGTCGGCGTTCTGTCCACACGGCAGCCAGGATGAGCAGGTTCCCCAGCAGCGTGAACAGGTACATCAGCAGGTAGAGCAGGAAGAGAGCTGGCAGCAGCTGCCGTGGGAAGGCTGAGAAGCCGAAGAGGATAAACTCGGACGAGGCGCTGTGATTCCTGCCAGGCATGGTGCTGCGTCTGGGGAAAGCGGGAGCGAAGGGAGGCTCAGCAGTGAAAACCCGAGCTCTGCCCCAGGTCAGATGGCCGTTTAAGAATTCTGTGCTGTTGAACAGCTGCTGAACTCTTTGGTCTCATTTCCCTCATCTGTAAGATCATGGTTCATATCATTCTGTATTGTTGTGTGGATAAAATGAAATAGGTACATTTAAAGTTTAAGGCAGAGTTCAGCTAGTTATTTTTTACCAGCACTGATGACCATAAATGAAAAGGCTGCATTTGAAACCTCTGCGGACAGACTGGATGATCAGGGTTGCTACACTTGAGTGTATCCTGGTTCTAGAAAACATGCATTTGGGTTAGATTTTTAAAGTTTTTTTTCCCTGTCTGAAAGTTTTTGTCTTTTAATTGATTGTTTAACTGCTTTACACTTCTTTTTATTCAGTGTTATCAGCAGTCACTTCTTCCCACGTGTTTACTACTTTTAAAAATGAAACTGATGAGTATGCCTGAATACAAAAGAAAGACAGATAGATGCCAGGAAAAATTCACCACAGAACATTTATGCAGAAATCTTAACAGAAACGAATGCAAGAAAAAATTGACCATTTGTCCCTATGCCACTGAGAAGAACTAGGGTTTCCTGCAGCAATGGCTGCTTCACATTCTGAATATGGAAGCAAACCTCAGTCGTCCCATACCAGTATGAAACGAAGTTTATGTGGATTACACAACAGTGATGTTAGAAATCAGAAGAGAAGCTTTTCACATCACATGTGTTTTCACTGCAAAAACTGTATTAGTGTTTTGAGCAATAAAGATAAACTGAGTTAAGAAATACAATAAAATAATAATTTAAGCACTGCAAGTTCAAATTTTAGTCTAAACCCATACTTTGAGTGAAATATAGAAGTTTCAAAATATTTATCAAGATACTTCAAGAAAAGAGCACAAATACATAGTGAAACCAAAATGATTAACAAGGTGAGAAATAACTAGAAGAATGCACCAAGAGCAAAATGCAAACTAAAAATTTGGAAATAATTATAATGATCATGAATATTTTAAAAATAAACAAAATTATTATTTAATGCATTTTAGACAGCAGATAATTCTTAGAAAAATACAAGTCTGACACAAGAAAAAAGGGGATGTGGAGAGTGAAATAGGTTGTCAGGATGCTGATGTGCCATTCAAAGACCTTTGGGGCCTACAATCATCTCTCCAGCAGATGTGCAAGCAAGCCCACTAACTGTTAGGGTAGATGATTAGCATCTTCTACATGTTATTCAAATGAGTGGACAAGAGTTGAGAAACCTGCACAGCTCATTTCATCAGGTTGATGGAATCTTTTCCTAAACCAGGTGAGAATGTTTACAAGAAAGTGTTAATTTCACTTCACCTGTACATGCAGATTTTAAAATCCCAGATAAACATAACCTAGGGAGAGACAAGGATGAACTAGAAAACAGTTTGTCATAATTAAGCGGTGTTTGTGTGCCTCATCCCTGACAAAAGTACTTTGGCCTCTGAAACATATCATGGGCTTATCACAACAATTCAACAGAAAATTCGTACTCCTATTCCAGTCTTGGTAAAAGTACACTTTCTAAAAGTCCAGCTCTATGAATTTTTTAAAAGGCTCCTCAAAACACAAATCAAAAGGGAGATACTTACCTCAGTTAAGCTTGTGTGCCATAAAAGTAGCACACAGGACCCCGAATGGAGCAACTGTAGATGTATTATTTTAGGATTGGGAACAAGGCAAGTACACTCACTGTTTGCTGTTCTTTTACATGAAACTGAAAGTCACGAATGCCTCCTGAGGGGAGAAAAGGAACATGAGTAAGGACTGGAAGCTAAGAGACAAGATCATAGCTAGAAATGGTGAGAGAATCAGGGTGCAACTCCTTAGAACAACAGGAAGCACAGTGCTCCTGAAGACAAGATCAACTGGCAAAAAAAAAAATAGTGTTTCTCATAGTTTTACCATTCGAAATATATCATGTACGTAAAAGCAGGAGTTTCCCAATAGAAGCATAAATTAGAAAGAAATAGCTCCCAGTTAGGTTTCACAGTTCTTTGTTTGTTTGTTTGTTTGTTTGTTTTGGCTTTTTCCAGCACCGGGAATCAAACTCACGACCTTGTGCTTGCCAGGCAGGCGCTGTGCCGCTGAGCTAAATCCTCAGGCCGGTTTCACAGTTCTTTTACACTCAGTAACTATAAAAACCCTCAGTACTTTTGTTTAAGTTGATTAAACCACCAGTTTTTACCATATTCAAAATTAACATGTAGAATACTTTAAATTACTCAATGTTTTTGCTAATATGTCTTATATCTGCTTGGAAGGAGACAGCTAGGTGCACTTATCTTGTTCTTCATTTAGTCTGTGGAAATATGTTGGATTAATTGAGGAAAGTACTTCCTCAGATGTTACTGGAAATTAAGGGACTCAGGCACAACAAGAAAGTCTTAGGAATCCCCAGGGTGTATGTAGTACACTTTGGAAGGCTGCTGGAATGGAATGTGTAGGATTTCACCCAAAATCATCAAAACTTACAAAGAGAAAAATTTTAAGCATTAACACATTGTAGATGACCTGAATACACCTGCAAATTGGATCAGATGTTCCTGAATTGAAAATATTCCAAATTTCTAAAATACTTCCGAATATTCTAAAATATCCCAAATTCCTTGAATTTTATTCATAAAAATAAAAGTACAATAATCTCTGAAAATCTGATTTAAAGATGGATACTATCAGATGAACACACTAATGAGAGAGTTATTCTAAGTTGTAAAAGTGTGAACCTAACAGTATGGAAGCACATTAAATTCTTTAGAAAATTCAGAATGTGCTGCTTCATTATTTAAACTGAGAGACATGATAAATCAGACAACACAAATCAAGGGGAAGTAGTAGGGTCTTCACTTGTTTGTGGTGGGAAAACTCTCCTATTCTGGAACCAAGTAAATCTGATTTTGCCAGACAGCATACTACAACATTGGGGTAGAGATGGTTTCAATATAGAAACATGAAATTATGAACTCTAAAGTGCTGTATACAGGAATTGTAGGAAAACAATGATAGAGAAAAACTTCAATATGCAAAAACAAATGCCAAGATGACCACAAAAAGATATAGCTTAGGATTAATAAAGGATATCTTAAATCACAGTAAAATTCAGATGGAAAACTGGGAATGATATTTGCATTTTCCAAAACTGGCAAAGGAATAAAACAAAAAAAAAAATCAGTTGCATCAAGAAGTTACAACTTCAGTGCCAAAAAATTAGCTCAGGAGATGACTAGAAAATTGCAGAAGGTGTTAGGCAAATGGGAAAACTCGAAAGAGGAAGGAAAGATGGAAGGAAGGAAGGAAGGAAGGAAGGAAGGAAAAAATGAAAAAGTGCAATTGAATTTCACTGCATGTGAACATTTCCAGCATTAGGAAATTCCCCATGTTGGCTGGCCTGTGAGGAATAAAGAAGCCGTGCACACTGCTGGCAGGAGTGTAGATTATGGAATTAAGAATTTACGTGTGTACATAGTCAGCATCAGCGAACTTCTCCCGGGTATTTATGGAGGTTCTCAAAGCCTCTCTAGGACACTTCATAAGAGAATGTTTCCTGCTGCAGTTCTTTTAGGCAAGAAAGCGGACAAACCTCACTCATGTCTGGGGAAAAGGTAGGTAAGAAAAAATTGAAGCAAAAACCAGAGCCCTTGTCAGAAGTTTGACATACATGTAGCAATGTCAATGAATTGTATAAATGATATAGAGTGAATAAACCAAAAGCCAGGATGAACTCCAACCCTGCATTGAAATATGGAGATGCACTGAAACATACAAGCACCCTAAGGAAAACTTGTCTCTATCATCCAGTAATGACAAGCAGAGACATCAAGCAGAGGAAGCACGCCTGCACCAGGGACCCCTACACCAACACTAGGACATCTGGGGCAGACTGCCTCTGAGGACGGTCCTGTGCATCGTTTAATGTTCAGAGGTATCCTCGTCCTGCCACTCACCAAAAGCCAGTAAAACATGGTCTCCCTCCATGTTGGAGAAGAGAAACATTCGTGGACATGTCTACACGCTTCCCGAAGACCACAGTTACTACTACGGTAGTTGAAAACTCTTGACTTAGCTGCTGCAGTGGGCACCAGAAGTGGTTCAATGACAAGGCACCAAAAGTGAGCAAACCAGTATCTCAGGCAGCCTCCCCAGCTTTTCTCTCCAGCCCTGCACACAATCCTAGTGTGAGTGACTTTGCCCACATCTCTCCTATTTTGTCCTGCACGCTTTCTCTCTTATCCCCCCCATTTCCCTGGGCCCCCCTCTTCTTTGAAGTAACCAAAATGAGCATGCAGAAAATGATCCCTCACTTGACGTTCTCTTGCGAAACTCACAGGTAAGAGTAGGAGCCAGATCAAGGGATACCTCAAACTGAAGCTCTGTGCCTTATTTCTATGTCCTTGGGCACAGGCCTTTCCTATGGGCTCCTCCAGGAAGTCAACCTGCAGGGCCTGAGCTCAGAGGGAAAGCCAGGAGGGACTTACATGATCCCCAGGGACCTGAACCTCTCACTCATCCTCCAGCACAGCACAAAGGCTTCCTATTTCCCGATTCTCCCCAGAGAGAGCGCAGCCCTGACCCAGTGGAGAAACCCCTGCCTTGGGGCAGAGAGGAGTTGGTAGGGATACTGTCAGACCCTCGAGGGCAAAGCGGGGTTACCAGGAGGACAAGAGCTGAGGGAGTCCACAGTGGAAAGACAGGTGAGGCTCTTCTCTGAAGAGAATGGAGTTGGAGACAGCCCAGACTCAGGTGACTTGGAGCTGGGAACTGCAGGATGGTTTCTCTTGGGCATTTTGTACCCTCATTGTCTTCTTGTCAAACTGCACAGCCCTGCCTCTCTCCTCGGGCAGCTTCTACTCCCTCGTACAGTTGATACTGCACAGTCCAACATGAGCAGTGTACCTCTGTATAATGTACTAAAATTCATAGTTTTTC